ACTGCAGTACCGAAACACAAAGAAGCCTCAGAAAACATTGAAGTACATTGAATTCTTAATGCTGAACTGGAATATAATAGCTCAATTTTCTTTTCGTCAAGTAAGATTTTAACGGATTTTCTGAAAAACCGAGGGTGAAAAATGGAAAGTGTCGAGGATAGTTGTATGGGCAAAGTTATAGATCCTACTAAGTAGTTTCTATTCTGAAAAAATCTCGAAAAATTTTCGGAGCGTTTAGAAGAAAATCAAGGTCAAACTTCAGGAATTTTTTAGGTAAATGGAGTATCACTCGAATGGAAAGTTAGATCGAGACCAAATTCCTTTACCATTAGAATCAACTCGTCAAGAGCTACAATTTGATGTATAATTATGCAATGTTTCGTTCATTTTCACCGACTTCGGTTTCACCCTCACCAAAAACTTGAGGTGTCTAGAAAACCACTTTCCACACGTTTTTTCAAAAAAGTGTAAGCGAGACTTTTAGATTATTTTTGATGCTCTACGCGATGGGCAAAGTGAAGTTTTCGCGGCTAATAGTGAATGTAATAGTGGGCGGACCTGTGCGGAAGGACCCTGTTCCAATTAGTATATTTCTGCTATAGCATATTAAAATTTCATAAAAAAAAGTTCGATATCCAACTTTTCGCAAGGAATTCAATGGTAATACAACGAAAAGTTGAGTCTACTATTAATATGGCCCTATGTGTGAGTTCCACTGAGAAAATCCCTACCAGGTTTCCTTTGATGGTTTTTCATATGCAAAATGTTTGGTCTGAAAGAGCCCTCTAGTTTGAAAGTGTTTTGAGAACATCGATTGATGACTACCGCGTTGTAATAGGTCATGGCTTACGTGCAATGGCTCTTAAGGACTCAGTTAGATTTAGTCTTAACACTGAACATGAACTGGACGCTTCGTGTCGACTATCTTTCAACAAAGAAGCTATTGACAGACCTATTAGAAACTCGCTCTTTTCTTTGCTTTTTTTGTCTTCTCGTTTTTTGTCCTATAAGTATGCACTAGTACCGGTACTTATACTGGTTGACTGGTCAGTTTTTACTGGATACCCCAACGGTTTGGTAATTAAATAATATGATAAATTCCTATTTTCTCACAATAATCTTTATGGAAAAAGTAGGAGTATAAACAGTTTGGGTATGCAGTTAACTGGTACTGGTGTATACCTAGTCATATTCAATCATCTCATGAATCCTGCCCTATTCTTTTTTTCTTCTCCCCAGTACCATATCATGGTACTATACCCCGATTTAGTCACTGTTCTTCTAATAAAAGTTTAAACTAAACTGGGTAAAAATTGTTTACCTCTGGAGATGTCGAACTTCTTGAATAAGACATTTTGAACAATTCAGCGTATAGCTTTTGTAAACTCCAGTCTTGTTTCACTTCTAAACTTGTTTTTTGACTTTTTTTCTCCAATTTCTGAACAATCGCTTGCAACTTTGTGGTGTTCGTTTCATCAACATTAGCTAAAAGCTTATTAATCATTATTTTGAATTTTTCAACTGTATTTTGTATGCTTGAAATATTATCCTTGATTTCATTTTTCACATCAGCATTAGTCGAAGAATCTTGTGTGGCTTTATTAATAGCTTCAGAGAGCTTTTTCAGTTGTGCTTGTATTTTTTGGACACTACATTCATCTGCATCTTGTGGTGCAACATTCTATATAAATATAGCTTTTCAGTTTGCAATACGTATAAAAAAAGGATAGCATTACCTCATTAACAATGCTTGCTGTTGGTCTGATACTTTCGATGTACCGAGTGCATGTTTGATGCATATCCGCTTTGGCTATAGCCATGTCACGTTCCACAAATGGATCATCATTACTTCTTTTACTCATGGCAAGAAATATTTCTTTTATTCGTCTCAGCCACATATAAGTGATTGACGCTTCTGTCAAATCGTTAATAGACGTTTTTGTACCATCAAATATTTTCAATGGCAAACAATCTATTCCTTGGTAATTCTCTTCATTGCTATTCCAACCGCTATCCATGTCTTTACGTTGTTGACTAAATCGTTTAACTTATAGAAAACATAAAAACTATATTCATCTGACTTTGGTGTCTGTACATGTTATTTACAAAAACCGATTCGTTGAAGCATAACGCACCGGGAATAATATTATTAAGGTAAATAATATTACTAAGGTCATTTTAAATGAATTAAGAAGCCCATTTGTGTACTGGAATAAATGAACTTCATAACAGTTAATCTAATAGGTTATGATTATAGTGCGGCAAAATACTTCATTTCAACTCACATAGGGAGTGTACATAATATTCTAAACAATAATATAATACTCTAAACAACATAATACATCATTCAATACTATATAACATACAGTATTCATGACAATCTTGTCTAGTTACTATGAAATAAAGCCGATTAAGGATTTGATTCTTTTAACTCTTGTACTCCCGAGCCTATTTTAGACACAACAAATAGAATGTATTTCATACTTCGATCCATGCAAAAAAAAAAATTTCATTTCATTTTCTTGTTTTTTGAGAACAGGGTCTAAATAGACCCTGGCTGGTAGTACAAGGGTTAAAGATGACTAATATGAAAAACGTTTAGCGTACAATTATTACTATCAATAAAGATATATTTAACTCGATTTTAGTACTCTGAATGTTCAAACTGATTTAAATGGAGTTTTTTTAGCACTGTATATTGTTTAACAGAAAACAGAATTTTCAAACATTGATATAAATAAATGTCTATTTACGAGTTTAATAGTATGTATACATAATAGAACTGCAGCTACCTCATACTGAAAATCAAAACTTGAGAATGGCCGTTGGAAAATGAAACAGCTTAGCAATAGATTTAATTAATCAATATGCTGAGTATTAAACTTCAATAATATCTTTCACGACATAATTTTATTCAGATCAATTTTTAAAAAATTTCTATTCATCAGATTAATTTTTTGAAAACAAATGTACTGAAATATAGTTGTTTTGTAAAATCTACTTAAACTTATTCACAGTTCGAAATAGATTTATACACATTCGACGAAAGAATCTCTATTGGAATTTCATTTCCCAAAGTAAATCTTTCTGAACTAGTTTTTGAAAACAATGTATGTGCATCCATTCTCGACAACTTAAAATCTATTTAAAGTCATTTCTTTCCCATTGAATTTTATCTTAGTTATCATAACTGATCAATTTAATTTAGCATTTTTTTCAGAATAGAATCAAAATGTATATAGGTTAATGCAAAAGCTAAACTGACCAAGGCAAACATTTTTTGTAAGTTAACGCGTTACAAAAGGCGTTAATAAACGCGTTAGTTGACACATCTGACGTGTTTTGACGCGTTTAAATGACACATTTAACGCGTTTAGCAGGACAATTTTACAATAAATTGACGTGTTCGGAAGAGTCAACCCGTGTTGCGTTTAAACGCGTTAGAAACCAACGCATCGAATAGCGTTGTAGGTATGAGTTGATGTGTTTTTCTAAGAAAGTACATAGCAGGCGTAAAATTTCTTTTTACAAAAGGCACTCCAGCAAAAACTCTCAAAAGCAAAATGCATTTCAAAAGTTCAGAGTGCACGTACATTTTATTTCCGCTTAGTGCACTTATCATTAGAAACACTGAGGCTATGGCGAAGGTAAAACAAGTTTCGCATAAAGACTGAGATTTCTGTTCTGCTGCTCTTTCTGCCCTTTTACCGCCTAAAAAACAAATAAACGAAGACAATTAAGGCAAATTTCTAACAGATCTTCGGTAAATAAACAAACTCAACCTGCTTTCTTCTCTTTAAGTAACTATGGAGAAGTGGATAAATGAACAAACAAACGTTGTGTGTCGCTCATGACAAAGTTCATGAAAAAGGCTTTAAGCGTATAAAAATGTGCGGTCTAATAGATTAAGAAGCAAACACCATCGCTTTTAGGCTGATTAGACATCAACGAATTATACTGTTGGGATGTGGTTCATGCTCCAGTCGTCTGTAGCTCAGCCGGTTGTGTGTTTGCTTCTTAATTCTAGATACCCATGTTCGAATCACACTCAAACCAAGTAAGTAATATTTGTTGTCTAACATTCTTGAGAGCAGTGAAAACTCTTTGAGTGAGCATGTAAACTCTCTAAAAAATGTTAGACCAATCAATTTAAAAAATTAATTTTTTTAAATTTACATTTTTAACGCGTTTAAACGCATCAATTTTAAACGCGTTTCGACGCATTAGTTCGGCCAAAATTAATACAGCGAAACGCATTAAAAATAAACGGACATAGATGCAATTTTGTAGCAGAAAAAGTTTGCCTGGGGAGATACATTGAGAAAGAAATGAAATTAAATAGATTTTTTGAACAAAAAGTTGTCGAGAATGGATGCGAAAGATTTTTCGATGAAAGATCACAGTACCGTATTCAGTGATGTAATACTGTTAAAAATTATTTACGCCAATTAATGTACCAATGTGTGAAAATATGAATACGAGGGCAAAATTATAGTCTTTTATTTTCTGCTCTTTTTCGGCTTCAAAATGAATTACAAACATGGTTACACCCCACATCAAGAAAAAAATTTTGATTGCGAGTCATCTGTATTGTGGGTTATTTCCACACATTTAATATACAGAAAGATGGCGCTATTGATTCGTTTCGTTTTTCTCATTGTTGCTGTAGTTAATAAAAGATTTTCTGCCCAACCTGAGCTTCCAAGTAGAATGGCAGATGACGCTAGATAAAAAAATATGATTTCTTCTAATAGTAAATGAGTCTTTTACAGAATGAGATTATGTCTGAGCATCTGACTTCACTTCAAATTAATCGAATCGGAAAGGTTGGGCCTGTAGAATCCGAAAAACGACGAATCTCAGTTTCTTTTCTATCGACACAGAACAAGCAAAATTAAGCCTGTAACCATAGTCAACTGAATTACGGAGATTAGTACACAAGAGCGTAGACACGAAGAAAAATTACGTTCATCATAACAGAGATGCATATTTTTTGTATTATATAGCAACGACTGGGAATTTAAACATATAATGATTTTTACAGCGCTTTTTAGTTACAACATCATTTTATTTGAATTTTTCTCCCTTTTTATACTGTCATCTTCAACAACAGCTGAGTGAGAATGGGAAGAAAAATAAACATCAACTATTATTACTTACGTGTTGTGGTAACAGCATGGAAAAATACCATTCAAAGCTATCATCATAGCCTTTTTTGTAACCTTTTTATACCAACGTTTACCAACCTTTTTACATATGCACATGTATATCTCACTCAATTGTTGTGGAAAATGATCCTATAAAAAAGGCAAAAAATCCAAATAAAATTATGTTGAAACCAAAAAATGCTGCAAAAATCATTATATAGTTAAATTCCAAATTGTTGCTCTTTAATACAAAAAAATGTGCGTCTCTGTTATGATGAAGGTATTCTCCTTCATGCCTAGGTTCTTGTGTACCTAGAAAGTAATTGTACAGACAAAACACCATTATAGGTATACGTTTTCATTAAATATTGATTCGATTCGCTACCAAATCTGGGCAAGAGCTCTGACGAAATTTTTGGGAGAAAAGAAATTGTTGAAGACAAAACATTTTCTTGAAAAGCAACAGGGGCGTACACCTCTCCACACCCCTACAGCCACGCTGATTAGTACCGTTCATGTTAAAATGATAAACACGATAAAAGACTTTGCTAGATTTCTAAAATTTCCACCAGAATCACTCTGGATATTTTTCTGTGTATAACACATTGCGTCCTTCTGATTATCATGCATTTATTGATGAATTTCTACAAGGTCGGTGATTTGTGTCCGTTTACCAAATTGTTTATGTTTTGACACAAAAATCAGTTTAGATTGCGACCTTGAAAAAGTCTGCACAATCTAAAATTGAATTATAGGCTGTCCTTAATGGGAATATGAACTGCATATACTGAATAAAGTTAAGCTAATTGATATATACACATAAATAAGAATATTTCTGACGGATCGTGAAAAGAATAATTCACGTTATTTCAACGAATTTTTTTTTCTGATTAACAAAGCTTTTCTTCGAATCTTAAAACAGGTGGGTATCTCGATAAATACATTGTTCCAATCGTGTGTGTATAACGTTTGATAAGTTTTTGTGCACATATCAAATTACATATCATTTATGCATGCGACAACGAATCATCGTTGTTTCATGTACTTGAAAGTTACGGCACTTTGAGCAGTGAGCGGTTACTTTAATAAACACAGAGAGACTCTGACGTCAGTTCAATTGAGCAACTTAAGTCATCCTTACCGTGCAATGGCTCTTAAATAGACAAGTTCGATATCAATTTTTTGTGCCCAACGTTTAATTATCGCCCAGCCGACAGCATACAGTGAGCATCTTCCACTAGTCAGGTGAATATCAAGTTGTTTACCATTTAAGTTTTTTACGTCTTAAATCAACAGTATGCTCTCAGAAATAAATGTAGTAGGTACATGCGATGTCTCGATAAAATTCCACTTATTCCGGATTCTTAAGATCTTCCATTTGTAACTATATACAGTTAATAAAAGTTGATATCCTTTTATTTGAATTTTGTCAATATTTTCATTCTTAATGAGAGAATCATGATATTCACCTTGTTTTCTTGATCATTGCCATTAAAATAAGTATTAGGATATTAGTTTAACGGGTGGAATTTTCTTTGTCACATGACAGTAATCACAAACCCATTCGGCAAATGTTTGACCTCTAATCAATCGTATTGCATTTTGAGTTAGACCAACACACGACCCATGATAAAACCTATTACATCCACTTCCACAAAATATAAAATTATCGTCCATATCTAAAGCGAGGCAAAATTATTAATGTATTCCTAACACATACTACTACTCATACTTGACTCTTTTAGACATATGCAGCATATTTCAGTGATTGGATAATGAGATGTTGAATATCTCGGTGAATGTTGTCTGATCATTAAATGCTGCATCTCAGCAGGGTACATTTGGCTCAGTGGTCGATGCATCACGGATGGTGAATGACATGATGAAGTCGATCTTATACACATTCCGTTAAATCCAGTACCATGAATCGGTATCGGTAAGGGACATGGTAATAAATTGTCTTCAGATCGAATACGAGTCATCATTGAATTTGAATACGGTGTGCGAATGCAACTAGGAACGCTGCTCATGCGATAATCAGAATAAAATTTAGGGTAATCATTGATATTGTTAACAGAACTCTGATGGAAAGATGAAGTCTCTTCATAACCACTGTGATTGCTGATATTTGTTGAGCTCGTATTATCACTATGATTTATAGGCATTCTTGAAGAAGTTGTTTGAAACATGTTACAAAATTTTAAACATCAAGATCAAGTGTCGCTCACGTTTCTTATAATACTAAAGGTCACTAATAGGAGTGAGAGTTAGTGTTGTAATGATGGGAAATGCCTATGGATAAAGATAGTAAAAAACAGTTCACAAAATGAGACGTTAATGAGCTCCTGACGTTCCTCTGTTCAAAAGATATAAAGACAGGAAACAGACGAAATAAGTGTTACAGTCACGTTTTAATCTGAAAATGGTGAATGATGCATCCCTGTTGAGCATTCTATATATTAATGCGAGGAAGAAATTAAAAATTAAAGCACGAACAGTCAGTAAAAATCATTCTATCATCCTTTTCTAATTAAGAAAGTGATGGTTACATTTTACCGCTGTTTCTTACTAAAGTAATTATTTCCTAATTAAAAGTTTCGTAAAAACTCTAAATATATATCACACGCTAGAGAATTTTATGAGTTGCTTCTTTACAATAATATCGTGTTAAAGGTCTCAATGATCTCCCATCTAATCGGTATTTCTCTTTTGTTTTTCTTCAGATGGTGTCTTTTTCTTTCAGAATGATTTAACCACGGTGATTTTAAATCTGATCATTCAACACATTTGAGGGTCCTGAGTGTTTTATCACCAGCTACCGACTTCGTTTTTTCACATAAAATAATTTCTTAATTTTTGATAATACTTTTAAAACTCACTTAGATTCCCTCAATGTAAATACATCACCTTTTACTACTCTTCTTGTACATACCTCAGAGTGAAACAGACTTCCAAAATTCGTAACTAATAACAGTTCGATATCCATAGTCAATATAAATATTTAACAACATATTTGTAAGCAAAAAAGAAAAGACGTTAACTTCGGCTAAAGTCTTTTTTGTGCGTGTCTGATCTACTCTACATTGTATGTGAATTCATTTTCTTTCTCAAGTATTTTCTACTCTTTTCTCTTAACGTGCAACGTTTATAGTATTTCTACGAATTTCTCTTTGTTATCACCTTTGCCTCTGACAATAAAACTCATCATCAACAAGAAATACCGATCAGGTATGAGATCAGTGAGATCTTTAACAAGGTATTATTATAAAGAAGCAGCTGATACAATTCTCTGGCGAATATAGTATATATTTAGAGTTTTTACCAATCTTTTAATTAGGGAATAATTACTTCAGTAAGAAACAGCTGTAAAATATAACCATCACTTTCTGAATTAGAAAAGGATGATAGAATAATTTTTACCGACTGTTGGAATTATGTGCTTTAATTTTTAATTTCTTCTTCGCATTTATATATAGAATGCTCAATATGGAAACAGCATTCAGCATTTTAACTATTCTTATAGCTATTCGTTTCACATATTTTATATGTGAAGAAACTATACGTTGATATTCAGATAAATATTGGCAGACATGTGTGCCGATAAAAGATTTTCGGCGGCGGCGAATGAAACTTTTGCCATGGGCGGCGGCGTGTAAATATTAGTTATCGGCGGCGAATCTCATAATTTAAGTAAAACAACGTTCTCTTTCATTTCTGGCACGTTCTTCGCGCCCCGACTGTATCTGTACGTTGCCGTATACGAAAAGATAGAAACGCGCTGCACGCTGGATGCCTAAGGTAAGAACGTACTAACAAAAATAGTCAAAATTTTCGGAAAAAACTTTTCTCCGCCCTCGGCGGCGACAAAAGTTTAACGACATGGCGGCGGCGACGGCGGAAGTCAGAACAGTTTTTCTCTGCTGTCAGCGGCGGCGGTGGAAGTCGCAATAATTTTTCTCCGGCTTCAGCGGCGGCGTCGAGTAAAAAATGACCGGCGGCGGCGAATCGACGAACCGGCGCACATCTCTGAATATAGGAAGCAAGAAGAGCTTGGCGAAAAGAAAAATTGTTAGAAAGCGTAAAATCCAAGGGGGAAAAAGCACATTCCGGAATGGGTACAAAATTTCTGGAATGCCATTCCAGAATGGCAGAATGTCGCCTTAGAATGGTGGACTGACATTCTAGAATAGGAGAAAGTTTTTGTTTTGGTTC